AAAAAATAATTTGTTTTCATTCAAAAAAAAAAAAAAGCTAAATATATCTGACTTAAATAATTAAGCTAACAGATTTAAAACAGAAGTGTGGTGCAGCGCTCCATAAACAAGTTCAGGGAAAGGAAAGGATGACAACGCGCATTCTGTTTGTTTGCTTGCTTTATTTTACAAAAGCACAAATCTTCTGTTTTTATTGTGAGTGTGCAAAAATAAAAGTAAACACTTTTGCGGATTATAAAAAGGTTACACTGGTCAGTTTAAATAGACCATAGTATACCGGTCCACTCTGCTGTTATGCCAAGGGCGTTTTTGCTCATGTGAAGAGGATGATCTTTTCCATCTATATGCGAATGCGTGTAAAGTACAAGCCTAGTTTACATAAATAATAGTTTAACATTCAAATACATTGCGAATATGGAAACATTTGGATTTTTGCCGAATGAGACATGAGCAATAACCTCCAAATACATCTAGCCAAACCCTCGCTCACTCTGTCTCGTATGCACGCATGCACTGTCACGATCTAATGCACTGTAAATGCCGGATTTTAAAAACAAATAGGCCTACCGGAACGCAAAAATTCAAAATCTGACATTTTCCAGAACAGGATCCAGCAGGATCAAATTAAGTACTGGTCATAATGCTCACATAAAAATGTTTCATGTGAGCAACTAGTCATTTAGTCTGAATAAAATGGTTGTGTTAGCAGTTTTGTTTATGTCTCTCTTTTGTATTTTATGCAAGACAGGAAGCTTTCTTTTGTTCAAATGCAACACAAATAAGAGCAAATTATGTGTGTAATTGATGCTTTCTCTGTGTCAGCACAAGAATGATGCATAGATAATGATGGAAAATTTAGTTTTGTCATGCAAGTCTGACTCCTCTTAAACTGGCTAAATGAGTACCGTTTTCCAGTAAGCTTTATAGTCATTCCTCATCAACAGCACACAAAACACACACAGACTAAATTGTACAGTCAATATTCACAGAAAGTACCATTCATGTGCACGTATCTCATTGCACATAAAAGCTCTGATCCTTTATGCCTTAAACTGCACTGCCCGAAGCATCCTGACACAAAGTGGCGGTCAGCTGAGATGCCAGCACAGGAAAGCACTGGAGGAGCTGAACAATGCCACTGAACTATCAGTTATGGCTGTTATTAAAATTATTGAAAAATCGATAATGTACATAATGCAATATGCATATCTCAAAAACCTGCAATAAGTCAATGATTTTAATACTTCAGAAAGTTACGTTTATGGTGATACAAAGAGCAAAGAATAAATTGGGCACACAATCCTGCTGCGCCACAGAACACCACTTACATATTTTTTTTTCATTATATTACAATATTTTTGTCCCAACTTGTTGTTAATGTATATACTGACTTCACCAAGTCTATGCCTCACATAGAGAAATATCATAATACAGATCACACTTTCACTTGTGCTGTTTTTTGTCAAATGCCACTTTCCACAGTCAGAAAAAATAAGCAACAAAAATAATTACAATATAATGATGACCATTTAAAATATTATATGAATACCAATTAACCGACAATTAAGCTTTTTTCATTACATTAATTCAGAAACAGACAATAAGCAGAGATCATAGATATAACAAGGTAGTTAAATAATTTTCAGTTTTTGAATGTTTAAATATAATTTTTATTGATTTCGTATTGCACAAATATCTCACCATTTAACAATCTATCACATTTTTCTTGAATATCGTGCAGCCCTACCATAATGCCTTATTCAAGCCGAGCTGCTCAGTTGTAAAGCATTTCAAATGGCTGCTGAAACAAGATTAGACAACAAAGCTTTATGGATGACAGATCAAATTATAGTGCCAATTACATCTTCCTCAACAGGAAAATGCAAATCAACTCAAACAAAGGTGTCAGTGTAAATCCTCTGACGTGTTAAATAGTGATTCATTGCTGCTGATTACACTTTACAGGTTTGCTAACTAACAGAGACATCACATATAGATGATGACATTCTGCAGTCAAAAGTTCCCAAGTTTAAATCTCCCGTCCCTGCTGTAATGGTATATCCTGTTAGCGCTGCCGTCGCCTCCTTGTAAGCTCTGACTCAAACTTTTCAACATAATGCCCATGACTCATGATCCTTACTGGGCCCTCCCCACCTCTACGCCCAACAAAAAGGCAGGCTGCTCACAGTGCCACTGATGGACATAAAGGGCCTTTTCAGTGGGGGAGCTGCTTTCTCTCTCACTTTGACTTTGTTTGGCAAATATAGAAGAGCGACTAGAGAAAGACCAACAGCAAAAACAAAAGAATCCGTTGAATCTAGAACATCTCTATCTGATGATTTCTAGGCATGTAAAGAGCTCCTGCCCAGAGCTGCTAATCAGACTAATCCACTGGGTGGGGATAAGATTAGTGACTCAAAACAGTTCCTGTCAAAAGTTCAAAGTAAATATGAAGAGCTAAATAAAACCTTGAATGACTCAGTAGCATATAGTTCACTTCACGCTCACCTGACATCTTTCATAACATTAGATAGAGTGAGTCAGCCTCTTCTATAACACAAACAAACACAACAGGGCAACAGTTTCAGAGGTCTGGGACCCCAGGACAAGATCATAAGCCCATCTCTCAGCAGGACCATCCAACAAGCAAAACTGTTAAAGACAGAAGTCATGGAGTTGTATAAAAACCTGACAAAAAAAAAAAAAGAAAAGTCAAAAACAACAAAAATGTGGTTCACCCAAAAATGAAAATTTGCTGAAAATGTACTCGCCCTCAGGCCATCAAAGATGTAGATGAGTTTATTTCTTCATCTGAACAGATTTGGAGAAATTTAGCATTACATCACTTGCTCACCAATGGATCCTCTGCAATGAATGGGTGCCGTCAGAATGAGAGTCCAAACAGCTGATAAAAACACCACAGTAATCCACACTACTCCATCAATTAACATCTTGTGAAACCAAAAGCTGCATGCAATAAACAAATCCATCATTAAAAAATGTGAGTCCTCTATAC